GAGATATATCTGCTGTATTGTTATAACTGTGGCGGAAATTAAATGAGGACGTTGTCGCCTTGTTCTGTCTGCGCCTGACTAATATGCCTATCTGCTTCTGGTACCTTCCGATTCAGCGAACCACGCAAATATCAAAAGACAAAGTCTGGTCTGTGACTGTGTATTGTAGTACAACAACTACGACAAACTACGACGACGACTACACAAATAAACTTATTTAGGAAATGGTATTTATACAATTTTACAACCAATAGAGACAGCTAACAGTATTTGAAATAATTGGTCGTAATAGTCAATAACAAAATGCGTGGGAATGATGATATACCACTTATGCGAGATTAACAGTCATTAAGATAGTTGAACAATAACAAAGTGCCTGGGAAATGATAATATACCACATATGCGAGATTAACAGTCATTAAGATAATTGAACAATAACAAAGTGCGTGAGAATTGATGATATACCACTTATGCGAGATTAACAGTCGTTAAAATAATTGAACAATAACAAAGTGTGTGGGATCCTATCATGTATAGGATCCAACTGTTCTATTTATTTGTTATATATGCTTGGTTGATGATCATAATAAATTCAGTCTCTTCCGTGCATTCTTAAAACCTTGTATAATTTGAATGTTTTTATAGAAAGTACAAGTGAGCATATAGACTGTGTAGCAGCACTATTGATTGTTTGAATTAATATTGAGGTGAAACCCAACTTACTTCTTCTATGCTATAGTACACTTTCATCTGTTTTGTGACGGTAGTCTATATGGCTTTTTTAGATTTTCAGTCATAAGTAAGTTCATGTCTATCATATAGGCGGATCCATTGGTCTGTTAATGTATCTTATGGTCAATAAATTAATTTCTTAAGGTACATTTTAACAATTCAATATAGTTGCTATTTAACTCACTTCCTTTTACTTAAATCCCGTCGTATTTGATCAAGTGGTAATAATAATACCTTGTGCGGCAGTGGTTCAGCGGTAGAACGCTTGTCAGTCACGCATGTGGTTCTGGGTTCGACCCCCGGCCGGTGTAATCCTAGACCTCGATAAGCCGGTAGTATGGCCCGTATAGAGGGAAGGTTTGGCATGAGGCTAGTAATCTCACCTCGTAGAAGTAAAACCACTGTTAACGAAACTTCAAAGCTCTAGCTGGAAACCCTATGTTACACTTGGAACGTAAAGGAATAAGACTTTTTTAAAAATAGTTTCATAGCTTACCATGATTTTATCACATATATTTTAGATTCGAGGCTGGATGAGCTCCTTTTACTATCATCACTTTGTCGAAAAAGGTTTCGGTTGTGTCTAGACTCTTAAAAGAGAGAAAATACTCAAGAAAATGTAAGGAAAACAATGCTAAGAATTATAGCTGAAATTTTCGGTATGAATAACTTTTTTACCAATTTCATTCTGGTGATACGGAACAATCACCAGCTCGACCAGGGAACTAAGTCCCTATTTGAGGAAGAACTAGCTAAACACATATCTGAGTTTGACAGCTGCGCTCACCCTGAAGAAGCCTGGAAGAATATTCAGTCAGCCATAGATACAGCTGTAAAAGCTGTGAATAAGGTAATTCCAAAGGTGAGTAAAAACCACTGGATTTCGACTGCCTCATCCGAACTGATAGATGCTAGAAGACTTATTCCGGCGAGCTCCGAATTCAATGAGGAGCGAAAGCTGCACAAGAGGAAACTT